TGGCAGCCAAGAACAGCCCCAGGGACTGTAGTCTGATCACCTCTGGGTCAGGCAGGGCCTTCCTCCTGGACTTCCAGCACCTTTCTTCTTGCATGACTGCCAAGGCCAGTTCTCTTTGAGGTCATTAAGATGGAGGCTGAGATGATGATCTGAGCAGCTCCAAGGGCTGAATTGTGATTCACTGCTGCTCTCCAGGAGGATCAAGTGAGATTGCAATTCTCTTAACATTCTAGTGTTGTTTTGCCCTTGTGCAAGTGTGTGCTTACAGTAATTGCTGAGAGCCATGTGTTGAATCCAGGGGAAAGGGAGGGAGCTAACATTCAATACACTAGAAAGGGAAGGAGACTCTCACCACATGACCCCTGTTACAGGCTTATCTCCCCAACAGGCAGTGGGGGGACTATTCTGACTGCATCTGAGCTGGCAACTGACTTAGCACCCAGGAGTCAAGTGTCAGCTTGTCCCACTGCACCATGTGTGGCCTTGGGCCATGTACTTAACCTCTCCAAGGCTTTGATTTCCTTATCTATGAAGTTGGACTGATTCTTAAGTTTCCTTCTCTTCTGTGTTTCTATTTCCCTATTCAAATCTATGTTTTAGTAATCCCAATCTGAGTGGATCCTAGAAAAGAACTCTAAAGTCAAGGAAGCCCTCTAATGAAGCAAAATGCGATTAATGAAGACTACAGTAAAAAAAAATCCTACTTTAAAATCAGACTGAGATTTTTAATCTCGTTTTAGGTCCCACTGGTATATTGAACTTCTAATTTTTTGTTAAGTTTCTTTTTTTTTAAGATTCTTCCTGTTCTATTTTAAGACATTCTGGTTCTTGAATGTCTTATTCAAGACAATGTCTTATTTAGTTCTTTAATGTTCTTATTCCAAACCAAAGAGCACTGATTGCCACTCAAGTAAAACAATAATGCCTTACATCTTGGGGTAAGTTTTTTTAAAAATTTTTTAGATATTTCTTTTAGTTGTAGATGGACACAATACCTTTATTTTGTTTATTTATTTTTATGTGGTGCTGAGATTGAACCCAGTGCCTCACATGTACAAGGCAAGTGTTCTACCAAGGAGCCACAGCCCCATGCCCCTGTGATAAGTTTTAATACAAGGGCATTTATTGAAAGCATCAAGATATTTGGAAGACTTTTTCCCCTTCTTTCCCATGGACCTCCTTGAACAGATACTTTCTCCCAGTTGGTGACTTATCTTTCCAGTTCTTCATGAATGTCAGTTTTCCTAAAGTTCAAGTTCCAATAACAGTTTTTTAAAAATCTCTGTTTTAGTTGAACCTCTCAGACCTTATCAAGGTAGTATAAGGCTTTTCAAAGGAAAAAGCCAGCTCACTTCTGCTTCTGCTTTGGCTAATTCTGGGGCAGTGTGCGCTCCCTGTTGGCCCCCAGACTGGCCTAGTTTAAGGAACAAATTAGAGAACAAGACTTTTCAATCTAAGAGAACATTGTCTTACATAGGACAATTTTAGATATCAGAACTTCATTGCCACAGAAGCAGCTAACAATTTTGAGAATCCACCATGTGCTAGATGTGGTGTTAAATGCTTTCCTACATTTTATCTTATTCATTAAAGCAGTACTTCCAGACACAAGGGGCTCCACAAATTTAAATAAATTCCCCCATGTTCCAGCAACTGGCCTGAGACAGCCAAAATTCAAATCCAAATTATTTCCCTCCAAGACAGGTTCTTTCCATAGGTCTGTGTGAAGTTCATTCTTCCCATTACTGACTGGTTGGTTTCTCTGATTATTTTCTTATGAAAGATGCTTAAACTATATAAGTCTTGCTATGTCATTACCTAATTTGTTTTTTAATAGCTTTAATTTATTTTCAGATATTTTCTCCCAGTTGGTGGCTTATCTTTTCATGATCTTATCTGCATCTTTTAAGAAGTTCCTAATGTTAAAGTCTAATTTATCTTTGATCTTTTGGTCATTGTTGGGTTGTTTTCGTTCTCTTTTATAGATTGTGTTTGGTTTGGTGTTGTATATAAGAAATCTTTGTCTAAATCCAGATTACAAATATTTTCTCCTAGAAGTTTTATAATTTTAGGATTTTCACTTTAGGTATACCATTCACTTTTGAGTTAATTTCTATACATCTTCTGAGGTGTTTAATAAGGTCTTTTTTTGCATACAAATATCTAATTATTTCCACACCATTTGCTGAGAACTATCATATCTGCACTAAATTGCCTTTGCACTATATATGTGTGGGCCCCATATTCTGACACAATGATTTCTATAGGGGACAATGCCAATATCATTCCTAGAGCTTTACAGCAAATTTTGAAGTCACATAATACAATTCCTTTGGTGTTGCTTCTTTTTCAAGTTGTCGTGCTACTCTATACTGTTTACCATTTATTTATTCAAGGAAAAAGACTGTTTTCTTCATTTATTTACTCAGGGAAAAAGTTATAAAACAACACCTAAAAATCTAAAGACAATTTAAAATTAAAAGTTATTATAGAACAGTATGGACATTTTGTATCTGGAGCTTCAGCAGGAAGTAAGGCACTCTGAGTTTGGGATTCCATTTGTTTAATCAAAAATTATTTCATGTACCTTGCATAGATTGCCAAATCTCAAAAGAAAGCTAAAGCATAATAATTTATATTTGAACTGTGTAGGACAGGATTACAGCTTTCATTGATGTTTTAGAAAGTACTTTGGGCTCTAGGGTAGCTTAGTCATCATTGCACGCATCAGTTGTCATTGCCCTAACAAAGTGGTGACTTACTGACTAAAGGGAGTTTATCTGGTAACACTGCTGCCTACCATACTATGATACCTTTCTTCACACATCTGAAATGTTATATCCAGCAGTTATAGGCAAAGCATTCTAGTGTCTCTCTTCCAATAAAGCATATTGGAAGTTTTACATTAAAGCTGTTTACATTAAGCTTGCTACCTTCTGGGGACAATGAGAAGCAACTATTATCTGAGGGAGCTGAGCACTGATCACTGCCACTGTGTGATGTTGAGCAAATTACTTATCATCTTTGGGCCTCAGTTTCATCATTTGTCAAAATGAAAGTTTTAGATGAGTTGTCCTTGAGTCGCACATTCAACTCTGAAATTTTTTGACTCTTCTATAGTGTCTTTATTAACTTAAAAATTAGAAGCCTTGAAAAATATACAGAAACTCTTGGCTGGGGTTGTGGGGCAGTGGTAGAGTGCTTGTCTTGCATGTGTGAGGCACTGGGTTCAATCCTCTGCACCACATAAAAATAAATAAATAAAATAAAGGTATTTATGTCCATTTACAACTAAAAAAAGGATTTAAAAAAAACATATATATTCAAAAACTCTAAATGACAAAAGCACTGTGATGAATCCGAAGGGGAGCTTTTGCAATCTGTGGTCTTTTGATGCACCCAGACTGCCTAACACCACTGTACCAGACTACTTTTAACTGTGGCCACACTGAGTGGTTAAGATGGCACTTATGGCTTCTGGTGCTGTGATGTTCTGTGACCCATGACACTCCCCTCCCCAATTTGGAGAAGGAAAAGAATAGCTTCTGAGCCCAGGTAATTCCAAAGCTTCAGAGTTCTCTTGAAATGGAAATTTGATTTCAAATATTTCTCCCAGGTAACTTGTACAGATTGAAACTAAGAGGATTTTAAACATCTTTTGTCTTTTTTATGCCAAGGCACAACAGAGCTACTCTGTTCATACTCTAAATGATCATTGTTCTATTTACAGAATAAGAATCACCAAGAGCCTGAAGTTTACTAGGAAATGCAGAACATAGATTTGAATTTGAAATAACGTGATAATAATTATTGATCGCTTACTGTGTGCCAGATGTTGTGTCAAGCTCTTCTTGTGCATTCTATAATTTCATTTTCATAACAATCTTGAAAACTAGGCATGATAGAAAATGATGTCCAAAGTTACACAATATTAAGTGGCAGAGCTGATCTTCTATCCACATCTGTTGCAATCTACACCTTGAACTCTTAATGACTACATCAGAGACTAGCTCTCATTACTTAGCTAGAACTTTTAGAGAGTAATTAAATTTTTAGTATGAATTACAGTGATCTAAACCAGAATAACAAGTGCTAATGGATCACTTTGGGTAAACTTGATAGAAGAAAGAATCCACAGAAGATTTCCTGAAGAAATTGCTTTGAGTGATATTTTTAAATGAAGAACATGGATTGGCTAGAGACAAGGGTGAGTTTGTGCTGAAAAGATAGACAATATGAGACTCTGAAGATGCAAATGAACAAATTATGTGCTCAGAAAGCAACTTAAAGACTTACTCATTGCAGGGTAATAACCAAAAATAAACCCAATGTCATGGGGTGAAAATCCAAGAGATTACAGTGTTTTATAGTAGACACTGGAGATCCACTCTCAGAGTTTAAGCAAAGGGAGAAACATAATTTAAATTATATTTGATTTTACAATTTATCCTATAATTCATATAGGAGAATTATGAGTTTTGAATGCTCTAAAAGTCAAGAGAAAAATTTTTAGCAAAATATATTTGATACTCAACACATTATCTTTAGGAATACAATATAACTCACCTCACAGAGGCCCTATAGCCTTAATAGTACAATGATGATGTATTTAGTTTCATAAATTAAGAGGACAGGATGCAGATTTTATCCAATTTTCAGAAAGAAGGGTGGCTATTCCACCACAATTATGCTAGCTGGCCCATCATCCCTGGTGTTGTGCAATGTGCATAAAACGAACACAAAAGGGTCATAGATTAAAGTCAGGTTTGGGCAAATAGAAATATCCCAACAATATGTATTAAATTGAGTCGAATTGAAGTCCACTTCCAGATAGCAATTACTGTGGGCTCCTGCATGGGGGCTAATGTGTTGAGTGAATTATAGCTGGGTTCCTTCCATTACAAAACCACTAATGCTAACTTAATGTCTCTTCACATTTTCTAAAGCATTTTCTTTCCTTCTCTCTTTTTCTCTCCCTCCCTCTCTCTTTCTCTCTCCAGTTCCAGAGACCTAATGACTTCTCACCCCCTTTCCGCTTTGGGACTGTGCCCAATGGCAGCACAGAGAGGAATATTCGTAACAATTATGCAGAAATGCATGCCTACATGGGAAAGTTCAACCAGAGAGGTGTGGATGATGCTTTGCTCTCCCTGAAAACAGGGTAAGAACTTCTTCCCATCTGAGAGTGCTTGATATGTTTCTTGCATTTATTAAACATGTATTGAATCAGACATACTAGTATACCATGCATGGTGCCACATAACATAAGATCAAAGACTTTATTTACTGTTTATGGATTTCCAAGTTACACTTGACAATGTGATTCAAGCCTGTGTACAAAGATTCCTATGCTATTACTTCTGCATATTTTGTTTTAGAAATTACTTTCTACTTGCACAAATGTAACCATAAAATAAATGAAATCGATATTAAAATAGAAGGAAAGAGTCAAGGACAAGCCTCATTCGTTACTCATGAAATAAAACCTGTACTCTAAGAGGTGAAAATGATGGGTCTGGTGTGTTATAGACAGAACAAAAAGTGTAAACGTTTTTAGATAACAAAAAGTAAGCAAGTATTGACTGATCTCCAATTCCAGTTTTTGTTGGAATCTTTTGTTGGATCTAAGAGTTTTTGTTCATTAAAAGAAATTCGTGAATTACAAATGTATTGATTATCCTTTTGTTCATTTGGTCTCCAGAAGCCAGACCTGTAGGAAGGGATAGGCATTATAGAATTTGGGATTTGGGGATCAAAGGGGCCTTACAGTGTCACACGATGACTAGCAGCAGGTGGACTTCCTCTCTGCCTACATGGGAAAGTTGTGACACACGGTTACTTATTATACCATCAATACATTTGCATGGGATTTCAGAAGATTTAATTTGGACTTGGGGTAGGACAGCTTTGGGTAGTCTGAACCCCCAATTCTCAATCATATCAGAGTTTTGTCTTTTTAGTATGTCACTTTCTCTGGGGCACCTTTTATAAAATGTCTCATGGTGTATCATGGAAGAAAGGACAATTTTTGTTTGTTTGTTTGTTTCTCAAGGAGGGACAAAACTACTTGCTTTGCAAAAGTACAGGGGATGATACATGTTTTTTTTTTTTTTTTTTTCACATCTCTCTATTTACCTTTAGGGCTTTATGGGAGTTCCTTCCTCTATCTTTGCTATGTGTAAATGTTGGTTTTAAGCTTTGATTCATGCCTTCCTGCCCTTAGTCCAAGGCTTTTCTCTATGTGTTCCTACCTTATCAAAGAGAACCCACAGAATGAGGTCCTGATCATTTAGGAATTTGGGAGATCTGAGTTCTTCCATATGTTACCTTCCCTTGTAGTCTCTCATTTGTTCTTGACAAGCCTGTGCTGCCACCACTCCAACCACTCACCTCTGACCTTGTGCCATACAACAGAATATTGGAACCTTCCTGACCACAAAAATAGCATTGCACATCTATTGGAACACATACACCTACACTTATCCCCACTCTGGATTGTAATGAACTGAGAAATGAAAAATGTTATATAAATCTTACCCATGCTATTTGTTATCATTGTGGAGCTTACTTCTCATTATTTCTGTTATTATTTTTATTGATTCCTTCTTACTCCTTCTCCTTTTCAGATACAGCTTATGAGTTGGCTTCAGGCCCAACACACATTCTTGTCATTCCCAGTGGGAGGGAAAGATCACCTCCTTTTCAACCTGAAATCACATAAAGAACAGCCTGGGATTTGGGCTTTAGATTCTGGCAGTAGTCCAACTTGAGCCTTACTTTGAACCAGTTCTCTACATAGCTTTATGAAATCCTGCTGCTTCATATTAATGGCCCCTTGTGTAGTTTTGTTCTGAAATTCCTCCTTTGGATTTTGTTTACTTCTTTCCTGTGCAGGAAGCTGGATGCCTTCATCTATGATGCAGCAGTGTTGAACTACATGGCAGGCAGAGACGAAGGCTGCAAGCTGGTCACCATTGGCAGCGGCAAGGTCTTTGCCTCCACTGGTTATGGCATTGCCATCCAGAAAGACTCTGGGTGGAAGCGCCAGGTGGACCTTGCTATCCTGCAGCTGTTTGGAGATGGTGAGTTAAAGAAAGGGAAAGTGCCCATTTGTCTTCTTCCAATGGCCAGTCCAAAATATCAACCCTTCTTCCATCTCTATTCCTCTAACCTATACATTTGCACAAAAAAAGCATCTCACAGTATATAATGAAATTTGAGAATATGCTAGATTTCTAGGGTTGCCATAACAAAGTGCCATGAACGTTGACTTAAACAGAAACTTATCCTCTCACAGTTCTGGAGGCTAGAGGTTGGAAATCAGGGTGTTGGTAGGGTTAATTCCTCCTGGGGACTGTGAGAGAGACTATTTGAGTCCTCTCCCCAAGCTTCTGATTGTTTGCTAGCAATATTTGGTCTTCCTTGGCTTGTAGAAGCTTCACCCTGATCCCTGCCTCCATGTTCACATGGCATCCTACATGTATGCACATTTTCCCTCTGAACATATCTCTGTCTGAATTTACCTTTTTCTTAAGATTATTCATATTGGACTGGGGGACCACTGTGCTCCAGTATGATATCATCTTAACAAATTACATCTACAATTACCCTATTTCCAAATAAAGACACATCCTAAGGTACTGGGGGTCAGGACTTCAACACATGAATTATGGTGGGGAGGTGGGGACACAGTTCAACCCATATTGGGTGAAGGATGAGGGAGAAGATTAAAATAGTTGGTCACAAGTTGTGTTTCAATATTGCAGGGTGTAATCAGACCTTCCAGGAAAAAGTAGAAGAGACTGGTTTTAGATGTTCCAACCAGTCATTTTACATGTGGCCCAAACAGTAGCTGGAACTGTGGAAGGACTCTTCTCTTTATGTGCCCAGAGAAAGGGCAGGGAAATGAAGGCATAGTTGTCTACTCTTCCTTCCCTTCCTCCTACCTTCCTCTTTCAGCTGGAAGAGGTAGGAGGCAGGCCAGGGGTTCACAGAGGCAGGCACCATAAGGCACTCGCCTGTGTCATTTCTGGCAGCAGATTGAGCAGCCAGCTTGCACTGAGAACAATCTCTTCTATTTCATTATACCCTTGTCTTCTGCATTTCTCTTCACTTTATTATCCAAAGTACCTACTCTTCCTGTCATCCTCACAGAATCTAATCCAGTTACAGATGAGCAGCCTTCCTCCACATGGCTCCACAGCCCATCAGCCAAGTGGTTCTCTCAATTATGTCTGCAGAATCTTTGCCGTTAGGGATGAGATCAGAAGCAGAAAACCAGAGGTAGATTCCCAGACTCCAGGTGAACTCAACTGTTCCCTTAGTTAGGAAAAGCATGGTTTGTGTAAAAAGTGATTGTATTAATATCAAAAGAGCAGGTGGGTATAGCTAGAGTGTTTCTAAGCCCTGGTATAAGAGCTTCTGTAACTCAGGGTTGTCACTTGTAGGCAAAAATGGAGCCTGTACCTATGAGGAAGAACAACACTAGAGATGATTTGCAGAAGTTGCCAAAGCATACTCAGATCATGCAAAGTCCACATTTTTAGTCAAATTGTAACCATTAGCATGGACAACTTCTTCATGAGATTTTCTGAATTGTGCTTCTCTAGGATAAGAGACATTCCAGGGCACATGGTTTATTCCACTTCCCTTTAGTCTAGAATTTCTACCTTTCTAATTCCTAGTATCCAGTAAAGTAGATAAAGGCCATTGGAATCTGACAGAATTGAAGTAATGAAAGCATCCTTATGCGGTGTTAAGAGCCCTCAGATATGATTTGGGTGGTCTTCTTTTATTCAAGCTTACTCCTAGTTTGCTGTTATATATTTATTTGTATTTTCCTCTTCAACAAGAAATCTGTAAGTCTAAGGGACCCCAGGGAACCAACCGATCTCTCTGCTGTTCTCTCTATCTCTCCTTCCCGTGCCGAGTCTGCTTTGTGCAATTGTAAGAGCAAGTTTCTGAATCACTTGTTTGATTATGTTAATTCCCACTGTCTGTAAAATAAAGTGCAAAGTGCTTAGTCTGACACTGATGTCCTCAGAATTCTTGCATCAGTGTTTTTTACTTGGCTGCTTCTGCTGACTGTTATTCTGTTTAAACTGTTCTCCCTGCCTCTTCTTAAACAAGCTTGTATTTCCCCACCTCCCTCCCATTGATCATGGTATTTCTGCTGCCTGGAGTGCCTTTTTGTAAAAGATAAATTAAAATTCACTAATCCATCATGCCCAATCCCAGGTCCTACCTCCCCCACGAAAACCCACTAGCTACCCTCCATCCACCAAATTACTCCCAGTAATTTAAACTCTCGCCTGCATAACAGATAGCTTGTCATATTGATCATTTATGTATATCAATTTACACTGGGCAGGTAAAGGGGAGCAGTGTCAATGTGTCATGTCTTTGTATTACCTGCAGTATCTTCATTGAGTTTTCACTAAATACCTATTGAATACATTGATGAGCTAATATATAATGGTATTAATAAAATTACTATTAACTCTCTCTATTCATTTTCTTTCTTTGTGTCTCCTTGTCTCTTTCTCTCTCTTGTTTTTTTCTCTCTTCCTTAATATTCCTCTTTCCCCATTTCTCTACTCTTCTCCTACTCTTTCCCCTTTATCTATTTTTCTTCTCTGCCCTGTCTCCAGGGGAGATGGAAGAACTGGAAGCTCTCTGGCTCACTGGCATTTGCCACAATGAGAAGAATGAGGTCATGAGCAGCCAGCTGGACATTGACAACATGGCGGGCGTCTTCTACATGTTGGGGGCAGCCATGGCACTCAGCCTTATCACCTTCATCTGTGAACACCTTTTCTATTGGCAGTTCCGGCATTGCTTTATGGGTGTCTGTTCTGGCAAGCCTGGCATGGTCTTCTCCATCAGCAGAGTAAGTGCTTTGATTTAGATGCCTAGAGCTTGTTAAGGATAGCTTAGCCTAGCACTGTGCAAAACAGAGAGACCCCAAGAGGGCACTAACTCCAGCCTTATGTTGCTAGAGCAAGAAATCACATCATGCATTTCACTAGAAGTTTTTGTGATATTTCAAGAGGAACAACAAAAAAAAAAAAACAGTGATACTATATTTCCTTTAAGAAACACCTTTCCATGTGGGATTTGGGCATTTGGTTTGCAATAAGAACTGGCAGATCCATCAAAATGGAAAGTTTGGCTTTTCCCCAAATGCTTTTCATCACCATTAGTCAGTTCTTTATAGGCTGTATTAATCATTTAATCCTTTAAAAGAGTCACATTTCTATTTAAACAATGGAATAAAACATCTCTCTCTAGTTCTAACAAACAAAGGTATATTAATGGTGGTCTCACTATTCCTATGTTTTAATCATGAGTGGAGTATAAGGAGTTGAAGAGCTTAACAGGACCTTCAGAAATAAGTCCTGACTCACAAGAAACTTATATTTCAGTAACTTCCTTAATTGGAACAAGAGTATAACTCTTAGGTCATTCTTTAGGTCCACTTCTTCAGTTATAATCTAAAGTGAGGCATCAGGAACAGTTTTGTACATCAACAAGATATCACAGACAGGAGTTTAAAAAACAAAGTTTTTTGATTTTTTTTAATAAGGTCATGGGGCCCACTCATGAGCAGTCAACTCAAATTACATTTTGGGATTGAGGTCCACTTTCCAAATATGACCAACTTTGCCTCAAATGGAGTTATGAAAGTAAATGGATTTCTCATTAAATTGTTTCTTTCTTTTCTTTTTCTTTTTCTTTTTTTTTTTTTTTTTTTTTTTTGGTCATTTTCCTGTAGTATTTCACTGATAGGGAACAATTCTCCATTTCCTCTCTGGCTGAGTTGATTGAGGTCAATCAGTACCACTGGAATAGGAGAATGGAACTTGCATTGGTTACAGTCCCAATTTGGGTTGTTCCACTGCACAGCCCTTCTCCAAGACCCAAGATAAGGCAATCACAGAAGCAAAAGAAACTGATGACCTGTAATAGGAATCCTGCTTACACCTTTCGACTTTATTAGTCCCTTGAGAGGAAAAATGCTTGGCATTTTTCTCCAGGTCATAGAAAAAGAAGGGTTACACAGAAGGACAAGGACAGAAAGGAGAGTAACGATGACCTTGTGATGTCCTCTGGGACAATAGGCTCCCTTCTTCTTTCCCATTTCGCTGCCATTCTCCTTCTAACCTTCTCTGTTTTTAATCCCTATCCATGGGAGAACATCCATTTCCAAATTTATTTCCTTTATTGCAAAGACACAATTCAGCACTTCTTCTTCAATACTTTCCCTTACCAGGGAGAAAAGTTCAGTTTGTCCACCTTTCAAGGCAGGGAACAAGAGGTGAGCAGTAGGTTGGTTTGACTTTAGAAGTGGACCTAGGAGGCCAACCAGGAGCCCAGCACTTCCTTCTCATGGATGCTATTCTTCACTGCCCAATATAAAGAGTTGTACACGGGAAGCTTTCTATCAATGATAAGTTGATAAAACATTATTTATGATAATATTAAGTGAGTGAGAAAGTATAAGAAGGAAATTGAGAGTTAACGGGAGAATAAATGAGAGAATTCAACAAGGGAGTTATTTATTCATACGTAGTATTTGATATTTGTTCCAATTTTCCCTCCCATGGTGTAGGGCACAGTAGGAGAAAAATTCTTCTTTGACCCCAGGCTTCCTAATTCTCTGTGTGAGTTTGGTTCATGCTTGACTAAAGAACAGAATTGTTCAGCTGTTATTTGGTGACCAAAGTTCTAAAAACTGCTCAAATTTTGTCAAAGTTGGAAAAGAGTGGCAACTGTGAGCTACTGCGCCCCTTTTCTGCCATTCTGGAATAACCAGCTAGAGCAGAGCATCCTCAGTATCTGTAGAGCATTGCCACCTATTTCCAGAAGGCTGACTTTTTTTTTTTTTTTTTTACTGTGGGTTCATATCCTGACCTTGTTCTTAAAATGTGAAAATCTGGGCATAGGAAGAAAACTCAAGTCAATGGTGGAGTTGAATCAGGAATGTCATGTTTTGTGATTCCAGTCTATTTGTTCAAGTCACTTGTTTCAGCCAAGGCTCCTCTCTGATGGCCAGGTTACTAACCTTAACTCATGAGATGAGGTTCGCTAAATTCAAGGGGATGATACTGGCAATCTTCTAGCTACATCTTGTAAGAGTGGATAGAACTATCTGCTTTATGCTTTCTCTGGCTTTTAGGAATGTCTTGAATGTAGAATGTGGTTTATGGTCATTTTTAGCTTTCCTGAATCTAATCTGTCCCATGGTATTTTGCTTCAGGGTATCTACAGCTGCATTCATGGAGTGGCAATTGAAGAACGCCAATCTGTGATGAACTCCCCCACTGCGACCATGAACAACACACACTCCAACATCCTGCGCTTGCTCCGCACGGCCAAGAACATGGCCAACCTCTCTGGCGTGAATGGCTCACCACAGAGCGCCTTGGACTTCATCCGCCGCGAGTCATCTGTCTATGACATCTCAGAGCACCGCCGCAGCTTCACCCATTCTGACTGCAAGTCCTATAACAACCCGCCCTGCGAGGAGAACCTCTTCAGCGACTACATCAGCGAAGTGGAGAGAACGTTTGGCAATCTGCAGCTGAAGGACAGCAACGTGTACCAAGACCACTATCACCACCACCACAGGCCGCACAGTATCGGCAGCACCAGCTCCATCGACGGGCTCTACGACTGTGACAACCCACCCTTCACCACCCAGCCAAGGTCCATCAGCAAGAAGCCCCTGGACATTGGCCTGCCCTCCTCCAAACACAGCCAGCTAAGTGACCTGTACGGCAAGTTCTCCTTCAAGAGCGACCGCTACAGTGGCCACGATGACTTGATCCGCTCAGATGTCTCTGACATCTCCACCCACACAGTCACCTACGGAAACATTGAAGGCAACGCGGCCAAGAGGCGTAAGCAGCAGTACAAGGACAGCCTGAAGAAGCGGCCAGCCTCGGCCAAGTCCCGTCGGGAGTTTGACGAGATCGAGCTGGCCTACCGTCGCCGACCGCCCCGCTCCCCTGACCACAAGCGCTATTTCAGGGACAAGGAAGGGTTACGGGACTTTTACCTGGACCAGTTCCGAACAAAGGAGAACTCCCCTCACTGGGAGCACGTGGACCTGACCGATATCTACAAGGAGCGCAGCGATGACTTCAAGCGCGACTCCGTCAGCGGAGGAGGGCCCTGTACTAACAGGTCTCACCTCAAACACCCGTCGGGCGACAAACACGGCGTGGTCAGCGGGGTACCAGCTCCCTGGGAGAAGAACCTGACCAACGTGGACTGGGATGACCGGTCTGGGGGCAACTTCTGCCGCAGCTGTCCCTCAAAGCTGCACAACTACTCCACGACGGTGACAGGTCAGAACTCGGGCAGGCAGGCGTGCATCCGGTGTGAGGCCTGCAAGAAGGCTGGTAACCTGTACGACATCAGCGAGGACAACTCCCTGCAGGAACTGGACCAGCCGGCTGCCCCCGTGGCGGTGACGTCGAACGCCTCCACCACCAAGTATCCTCAGAGCCCGACTAATTCCAAGGCCCAGAAGAAGAATCGGAACAAACTGCGCCGGCAGCACTCCTACGACACCTTCGTGGACCTGCAGAAGGAAGAAGCCGCCTTGGCCCCGCGCAGCGTGAGCCTGAAAGACAAGGGCCGTTTCCTGGACGGGAGCCCCTACGCCCACATGTTTGAGATGCCAGCCGGCGAGAGCACCTTTGCCAACAACAAGTCCTCAGTGCCCACTGCCGGACACCACCACCACAACAACCCCGGCGGCGGCTACATGCTCAGCAAGTCGCTCTACCCTGACCGGGTCACGCAAAACCCTTTCATCCCCACTTTTGGGGACGACCAGTGCTTGCTCCATGGCAGCAAATCCTACTTCTTCAGGCAGCCCACTGTGGCAGGGGCGTCGAAAGCCAGGCCGGACTTCCGGGCCCTTGTCACCAACAAGCCGGTGGTCTCGGCCCTTCATGGGGCTGTGCCAGGCCGTTTCCAGAAGGACATCTGTATAGGGAACCAGTCCAACCCCTGTGTGCCTAACAACAAAAACCCCAGGGCTTTCAATGGCTCCAGCAATGGGCATGTTTATGAGAAACTTTCTAGTATTGAGTCTGATGTCTGAGTGAGGGAAGAGAGAGGTTAAGGTGGGTATGGGAGGGGTAGGGCTGCGGGTCGTGTGGTGCGCATGTCACGGAGGGGGTCGGGGTGAACTTGGTTCCCATTTGCTCCTTTCTTGTTCTTTTAGTTTATTTATGGGATCCTGGAGTTCTGGCTCTTGCCGAAGGCAACCCTGGTGACCAGCACCATCCCTCCTCCTTTTCACAGTTCTCCTCTCCTTCCCAGATCTGTGCGCCATTCCTGTTCCCATAAGAGGGCTGAAACGGGCCCTCTCAGCGCGGGAGGGTTCAGAGGAGAAAGGAAGTACTGCATGCGAGCTTCCTCCTAGCAGGAAGGAAGAGCTCTTTGCCATCTACCTTGAGTGAAGCCAGGAGAAACAAAAGGAAGCCATGTGAGCACGGGAGTAGCTTTTCCCAAACTTATCTTTCTGTTTAGGTGAGGAAGCAAAAGCATCTAAGTGAGACCATTTAGCATACTGCTTGTGAATGAAAAGAGGCTTTTGCTAAATTCTTGTTGGGTGGATGACATCTGCACAGGGATGGTGTGCCAAACAGAGGGTAGGAGGCCTTGTGTGTTTATATATAAGCCAAAAAAAAAAAAAGTTTGCTTCAACTCCATGAGATTCATTAGCAGTGAACTGGAGTGAAAGTTCATTGGTGGATGAGGGGATTCCTGAACAAACTAGAAAGTTCTTTATAGTGTTATATGGTGCATTGAAGGCAACAGCAGGGGATCGTGTGTGCATGTATGTCCATGTATACTTGCACACATGGGCGGTCAGGTGCCTCTAAATGTAGAGAAGGCAACTTGACTCATTGTGCTGATTCCTTCCATATCCCTGAGCAATGCACTCGTTTTGGCTTATATACAAACAGAGATGGTCATATGTTATCCGAGTGTCTGCTGTCTGTCCCCTTCACCTTCCTGAATAAGGAATGGAAGTTCTTGACAAAGAAGATTCTGTGCTATAGACAAAAAGGAAAGGGAGACAATCCTACAAAAGCAAGATACTAAAATGATTTTTCATTGATTGCCAGTAAGTTCCATCGGTTTGGGTCAAGAACTTTCCAGGAAGGCTAAAGGGAAATAGAAGCAGCCATAATTCTTTTGCGCACACTTGAGAGCAAAAGTCTCCATAAAGCTCTGTTGAGCTTTTAGACCCTCAACTAGCAAGGTTTGGGGAGAAGCTCAGTAAGGCTCTGAGGAAGAGGGGAGTCATTTATGGTAGGGTAAGTGAGAGAGGGGGATGTTTTCAATGCTTTGATCCCTTCTTACTTAGCCTGGAGCTAGAAAAGCAGGCTTGTTCCCCTAGAACTGATGACAACTGATAGGGAACAGACAGTGAAGAGCATGAGCCTACCCCCGTGATCGCAGCTCGGGAGGCCTGGAGAGAAGGGAATTGATCTGGAAGTGGGGAACGGTAGGCGGGAGGGACTCTCCCACTACCTCCTTGGGCCTGGCTCCCTGGGAATGTGACTTGAGCCCAGTGGGAACTCTCTTGGTAGAAGCCCTTCCACCTTCCTGCAACACCTCTGTTCCCTCTCAGATTGTACCATTCAAAAGTAAATATATATATATGTATGTGTGTGTGTGTAAAACTCCAGGGATGAGGGTACTGGCAGATGTGATGCCCCCTTCACTTAAAGTTGGAAAATTGAGAAGGGAAATGAGTATTTGTCACTGCCGGTCCTGGAACTTGGGGTGGGGGTATTCTATGGGTCAGTTCCACTGTCCTGCCATCCTCCTCTCACAGGGTGGCATCCAAAGAGCCCCGGGTCTGATTGGAAGCTTGACCACAGGATCGCCTTGTTGCACACAGGACACATAAACCAGAAAGGTGCTCATCCTCCTCTGGAAGGAAGCTGCCATGTCTCTTCACGTCACATACTCCAGGGCTGCTCTTTGCCTTCCTGATCGCCCTGCCTCACGACCCTTTCTCCTTCCCTGCCCTCGACTGCTGTCCCCCGTCCTCCTCCTTGATTTTTACCTCAGTATCTTTCATTTTAAAGCCAACTGAAGGCCTTGTAATGCTTTGTTTTCTTTCTAAAATGAACGTGGGGGCAAGGGGCTGAACCTCTCACAGATTTGGAGAGAGGAGCACGGAGTGCTTTACCTTAGATTCAAGGAAAGACTTTGAGAGAGAGAGGACAGAGGGCGTGAGGCGTCTCCAGGAGGAAGAACGAGAAGGGCCATAGAAACATCGCTTCACCCTGGCTCTGTCCAAGGGTCAGGGGCTCATCCTCTCACTCTTCCTCTTACCTCACCCCTTTAAAATAAAAAACCAAACCAACTATCCTAGCGAACAGCAATCTAGAACACAGGGGGCTCTGTTGGTCTCCACTGGCTACAGAAATCAAGATGGTGTTTATTTCATATGTAAATATTTTGTTTTCTAATTAATTTTGTATAGATAAAGTGTTCTCTTGTGAGTGTTCAGGGTGTTGGGCTGGAGGGAGTGGGGTGGGGATGGGAATGAGGGGGAAAACAGTGTTTTGTTACAGGTTTTTGTTTTCCGTTGGGGGAATTGTTTTGTATGGCTTTTGCTTCAGGGTGTCTGGAAAAAGTGAATGTGAATGGAAGCCACTATGGTGAACAAGCCAGGGGAAAATAGTTTGTGTCCATGCCCCCCACCCCCAAGCCAGTCTTCTTGCTGGTCTTTGAGAAGTGTTCATGCAATTTGGCCTGGGCTTTGCTGGGTCCAGTTTGGCTCCTAGCAGAGCCCCGTCTGACTGTGGTCTTCTGGGTAGACATAGGGTACCAGCACTCCATCAAAGACAAGCTGGTGGCACCAGATTTTCCCTGTCAATACCTAGCATAGCAAAGGTTTCCAAAAGGGTTTGAAACAGAACTGAGGTCAAATTAACCTCCCATTCACAGTGTGACTGAGAGGTTTCAGAAAGCTCCATCCTGAGGAATCTCCCAGTAGTCTTCTCTGGTGTTTAGCAGCCATCTCACCACCTGACCCTTTTCTTCCTAGTACCTGGGCCCTAACCCTAACCCCCTACCCCACCCTTAGAAATCTGTGCTGTGGCCACACCCAGAAAACGTCCACTGACTTAACTTTTTGAAGAATGTGCCATCTGGTTACACAGGGGTAGCACTAGATTCGGGTCTTAGAAATTCCCATGCTTTGCTAGAAAAGATGACCAGATCCACTCAAAACCAGTGGCTAATGATTCCCTTAGAAAGATTGCTGAAGTTAGTTTTAGAGGTAGCAGGTGGGTATATGAGGGACGGTGCCAGCAGTGGCTTTATATTTGCCTTGTCCTCATTACTGCCATCAGGAAGGTGCTATTTGCCTCACGTCAGGTATTTATAACCTGACCTTGGGTTAACCAGACAAATAGAAGTCTTTCCCTGGACATTGGCTTTGTGGAGTGTGGCAGCTCTCTCTCCCTTTCTCTCTCTCTCTCTCTCTCTCTCTCTCTCTCTCTCTCTCCCCACCCCCCACAGAATGAAATTTCCAAGTCTACATAGCATATTACCCTACTGCATTTTTTTCCTATACTTCCATCATCAGAAGCTGTCAGATGAATAATTTCATTTTTCTGAATTTGGCTCTAATTGATCATTTTTCATCCACTGGGTGTTTGAATTGGGACCAAGTAAGACATTCATGGCCTGCTCAAGAATGCTTAAGAAGAGGAAGGCTAAGCATTGTCAAGTTCTAGGTATTACTTAATTCCTGAATAACAAGCAGTAAAATGCATGAGGAGGAACTCAGCAGTAAGCCCCATCTGTATCACAGATGGGTATGGACCAAGACCCAATCCATCCAAAACTGTGAGATTCTGCAGATACCCTCAGGAGCGCCTAGTGTTCCAATGTTCTTCAGAATCTGTGCTTTCTCTCTTGTGTGCTTTCTATCACTCCCTACCACTTTGGAAGTGGGTTGGTGGGTATGGTTCTGCATCACTCCATTCAGTGGCAATGCTGAAATCTCAGTATTTCCACCGACCTCAGTGACCTAACCCTTGAATATGCCTGAGTCAAGAATGTGCACACCCTTCAGAGTGATGCATGTACAGTAGACCTTGTTATTTCAAAAGTCGTCACTGTGTATCCTCAGCCAGAATTTGGGAGACATCCTTAATGTGTGTTCCCTGTACTGGCCACAGCCATGTTGTGATTGGGGGAAAAATTCCAAATGATTCCATTAAATGTTGGTGGTGTCAGTAGTGCCAAAACGCATGTGTAATGTGATAAAAATAGGAGTCGTCTATACAGTTAAGTGATTATCACCCACCCAGTCTTCCATGGCCATCAGGAGTTGCCCAAGGGAGAATTCTCTGCAGAGTGCTGGTCACCTGCACATCACATTTAAGAACTAGGGTTTCTTTGTTTTTGTTTTGCTTTTTGTTTGGTTTTAGTTAGATCAAGATTTAGGGACAGAATAACCAGATTGTTTGGGTAATTGCCTTTGGAAAGGCTATTCCTGAACTCACTCTATTTTTTTAATCATGGTCTCTCTAAAAAGGCCCTGTCATTGCTTGACGCGCTGTGCATGTCTGTTTTTGGTGTGTTAGGAATGATTCAGATGTGCGCATAAATGATGTAACTGCAGTGCCGTTAATGAATGCATTAGGCATTGCCGGGTACTGTGGCAGTACTGTATGTGCTATCTGAGCCCGAAGCCATATAGGAATGTGTGCTCCACGGGCTTCTAAACGCTATCGTAGAGCCTTTGCTTTCTTTACTTGAGTCCAGAGACTCTTCTTCCTGTCTAAGAAATTTTTCTGGAGGAGAAGCAGCCAAGGTGGACAGTCATACTGGTGGCTCTGGCCTTACAAATGGTCTGTGTCCATGGTGTGATTTCAAGGTCCCGAAAAGGGTTCCAACTCCTGGTCTCCCAGGCAGATTGATTGCTTGCACTGAGCTGCTCCAATGTCTTTTAAATGAAAGCAATCCCAGGAAGAGTGACATATTAAGCCATATTAGGGATTTATACATTTAAACACCTAATTTACATTAGGATTTTCATTCCTTTTCCTGGGAATAAGGGATGATACAAGAGGGAGAAAGCAGAGAACACCAGGAGTAACAGCAGGAAACAAGGATATAGGTTCCAGAAGGGAAGACATTTAAACCATATTTCATTTCCACCTGCTTTTATTCAAGGCTCATGTGACACTGGGATAGAATTCCTAGTTAGGAATTGTTTACAATACACAGTCACATGAGTGTTCTGTTTATAAATTCAGTATCTTGTAGGGAGGTTAAGGACTGTGACTCTGTAGATAATGGAAGGTTGATGCTTCTCCTGTTACAGGATACAGAGTAGGCAGCTAGAAAGATCAAGTTGAATGAATATAATTTTTAAAAGTTCCTGTGTTATCTGTTTTCTGTCCCAGTTCAATTAATCTTCCAGTTAACTGGGTTGTCCTGTATTCTATACTTTCCCACCTGCACACTGCGTACCCATTTATCCCATACCATACTATCTGTTAAGGAGCCAGTTGACTATCAGGTGCTACTTAACCTGGGGGCAATTCCTTTTTAGGTCTATCAGATATTTGGGGCAATATTAAAATGCAGATTAGTCTGAGAACTTCTAATTTGATCTAGATCTAGGATTCCATTCTAGTTCAGGGGATTGCTATACAATATAAAAATCACAAGATGTCTGAATATGTCCCACCCTCATACCCATTTCAGTTGTACTGATTCAACCCCAGAGGGTTCCTCTGAATTCTGTGACTTAAAAGATATAATCTTTCTACTCCCCAAACAAAGGTCCACACCAAAAACCTTAAATGAAATTCAGTGCTATTTCCATATTGGTGGAGGTTAGGGCTTTCAGTTTACAATATTGAAGCAAGAGAGAAGAATTTTTCTCAGTGAGTGTTGGGTCAGCACAGCGGTGCTGGGAATCAAGGGAGAAATTTAACAATTTTCCATATTTCTCTGCCACTGTGTTCATGTGCATCCATCTCAACGTTCATCACAGTGAGGTGCTGGCACAGTTGCATGCTTTAAAATATAATTGCTGGTATGGTTGTAAGGATAAGGGCTCCTGAGAAGAATTGAAGGTGGGAAGTAGAGTAGATGAGTAGAATTACTCCTAGCCTTGGGATTCTGGTGTGGTATGAAAGTTTACTTTGGCAAAGGTGAAAGAAATGGAACTCAGTGCAAGTATTAAAGGTACAATCAAGAAGCTGCACACTCAGCCTGGTAGAAAACTGTTATTTTAAAGATTTGGTTTCCACACTTTACACCTGAACTCTCTTTATCTGTAATTATTTTAGTGTTGTGATTTATGGAATGGAGCAGATTCTAGTACTCTAAAGAAAAAATAAAATAAAAATAAAAGCTCTAGTTAAAAACATTAGTTCAATTAAACCAATGTCTATTGAGCACATCCTATGTCCCTGGGCTAGTGCTGGGAGGAAAATAATAGACTTTTAAAATGGAGTATATTTTACTGACATTGAATGTATGAATGCATAAGTACAAAATATTTTAATGTATGTATTATGTATATATAAAGAAGTGTGCATATTAAGCCATGTAGGTTTAATATTTTCTGGTTTCAGGGTGTGTGTTAAAGATTTATCAATTATGTTATTTAAGATTTAACTTTTTATCCTGATCTCACCTGGACCTCTTCTTTTGTAATCATTTTATCTCCCAGAGTTATCACTCTGAAATTCCCCCCTTAACCACAACACCAGACTTTCTATATCTGACCTTCCTTCCTTTAAGTCCATCTGTGGTTATGGTTCATGAGCAGATCTGGCTTCATGTACTTCCCTTTTTGGTCATGGGAACACACGAATGACCCTGCAGTTCACCATATCCGCAATGCTCTTACCAGCAATCTCTTTCTTCTCTTGCTTGCTGACTGTACCTGCTTTGCTTATCTAATGTTACACCCCAATCTCCCATCATTCATTCCATCTCCAAGAGGAGGTCTTAGACCTATGCTGAAGAGCACAGAATCAGCCCCTTTCATCTCACTTGAACTCTCCCAGCTTGGCCATCTCTTTTGTTTTTGCTCTGCTGACTCCATGTAACATTCTCTAGGATCAAATTTGTTTCATGTTCCTTTAATTGTCATTGTCTCTGTCAAAAGGCAATCTTTTTTGCTGTTACCAAGAAAAGACATCTGTGTATTGAATTCTCATATAACCTCTCCTCTCTGCCGCTCAATTTCTCTTGTCCTTCATTCATCTTTCCCAGCTTCCCTCTCAACTCAGTGCTCCTCTTCTCCATGCTCTGACATCATCTCCAACCTCTTCTGAGGGGCATTACAGTTAGTAGCACTTCTCTATTGCATCTTTAATCCCTTTGACACACCTGCCTGCCACCATCACAATAACCATACCCTACAACTATCTCTGAGGACAAACCATTTTTCAATCAAATAGATTCTTGAATCTCTGCCCTACCTCTGTCTACCTTTGCACTTCCAAATTTCTCAAAAGGGTGTTCCCTCTCTCTTCACTTCCTTACCTAGTGCCCATGGCTTTATAATGGGGCTTCTCCTACCACTCTACTGATAAACTACTGACTGGTAAAATTACAATGAGATTCTTGTTACAAAATCCAAAACTCTAATGACCTTTATTCAAATCCCCTTTCCCTGCTCTTCAGTCTTATTGACACCACCTTAAACTAACCACAGGGAGGCAGTCCATTCTGGTTTTGATATTAGCTCTCCATCTGGTCCTTGGTGACCTCACTGGTTGCTGCTCTTCCTCAGCCTTGACTAGCTGTGGTGTTCCAAGCTTGAGCCTCTCCACCTTTTCTCCAGGCAATCTCTCTGTCTTCTACAACTTTGATGACTCTGAATGAAGACAAATTTTAGATCTTCACTCCTAGACATCACTTTTCTCTTCAGCTTAATGCACATATCCCCTGTCACCTCACTTCTTATTGACTCAGATATCCAAGACTATCCCTGCAAACCAACAATCCCCAAGTGACTCTTTTGGTTAATGACACCACCAGTCCTTTTGTCACCAAACTGAAGATTTCCCAGGCACTTCTGCCTCCTTTGATTCCCTTGCCCCCCCACATCTAACCATTTGGGAAGTCTGTTAATTCTTACCCCAAGAAGTTTCCCAGTCTTCCCTTTTCACTCAGGCTCTTCCCTCTGATCTGGATTATTTCAACAACCTATAACACTGTTCTAAAAATTTACATTCGCATCTACTCTTCTCAACACTCATTTCCTAATTACAAATCAGATCACGTTAAACCTCAACTGAAAAAAAAAAATCTTCAGTGAGCTTCACTTGTCAGTCTTCCAGCTGGCAAGCATGACTCCCTGTTACTTACTTTTGTGTATTCCATGTCCCAGATGATCTAAATCACAGGCTTGTCCTTAACTGTCCCTTAACTGGTTTCCTACTTGTGTCTTTCTTTAAACTGTTTCCTCTGCCCTAAATACTTTCCCCTACATGCTCCATCTCCTGCTTTTACATAATATCCATTTCCTCTATATAAATCTTCAAAGACCAGAACAAATAGTCACCACATCTATTTCCCTTCATCTTCCATGCATAAAAAAAAAAATTAGGCATTTTGTGAATGCCCATAACACTGTAATTGTGTCTCCCTAGTAGCAGCTATCAAAGATCATCTTATTTCATAGTTATGTGAGTTACATCTCATCTTCCCTGCTAGATTCTATCCAAGCTATTTATTTATTCATCTTTTTATCCCTATAACACCTCACAGAGCACCTTGTTTATGAGAGGCACTAGCAAATATTTGATATTATTATAAATTATAATTGAAAATGAGTCACTTTATTTTACCCACAGGATACTTGAATCTGCAGTAAAACTTAAAGGATGAGTTCCCCCATATATCTATTTTTGCACATGATCACAGCAATACACTGCTTACATGCAATTCCATGTTAATTATTATTTTCAATGAGAATTTAGATTTTTCTAAGTTGTGTTTTGTTCTTTGAAGTTGTTCTCTGACTGTTTCAGGGTTAGTAGAATGTATGCTATACTACATGTACACCAATAAAATAAGTGACAGGGAGGGGCCGTGATGGATGTTGATCAATGTTAGGTATCAGGAACTGTTCAGATGCTATGAGGGAAGCCTTACACTTCACTACTGTGGCTTGGTCCAACAACCTGACCTATGCAGGGATTCATGTGTCTTTGATCCATTTTAAAGCTTTCTTTGCTTTTGCTTTTTAATCACTTGCAGTACCAGAAGGGTCTTGCCACAATTCAGACTCACTAATCACACGCCTTGTGGACCCCAGGTGGTGGTCTAGTAGGACCGATATACTTAAATACAATGAGTGCTGGTACTTTCCTCACCTATGACTATGCCAGATCATACTTGGGAAACTGTGCTAGCAGCTCACGACCTTAATCTTGATGGTATTTCTTTCTTGGACTCTGAATAATTCTTACTCTTTCTGGGGCTTGATCTACAGGGTCCCTTCTCTCAAAGAGAAAATGAAGAATTCTGGCAATTGAGCATATTACCTCTGATCTGTGTATTTCAAATGAAGATAAAGTAGGATTTGAATGAGCTGGTTCAAAGAAAAATTCTAGTCTCTAAACTATTTTTTTTCTCTGTAGCTATGAAGGGATTCATTGCCTTGGAAATGACCCTCCCTGTTACTTTTTCTCTGAGCCCTATTCACTCTCTCCCTGTCCCCTTGGTTCTACTTAGCAATATGACCTACTCATTTCTAGTCATTGTCAGTTTCTATCTCCCCAAAGAAACTCTTGGAGCTGGTACTGTCCTTTCACTTAAGTGGCTCTGGTAACCAATAATGTTTCCTTTCCTTTCTTGGCCAGTCTCCTCTATAAATCTTATTATGTCATTGGCCATGAATTATTCTCCTTTGGGAGGCATCTTCTGCCACTGTGTGCTAATTTAAAGCATACTATAGAGAACCAGACTCAAATAAGTTACAGACAGTGACAAGTCTCTTTTTCAAAAAGCAAAAGAAGTCCATTCTTCATTGAGACAGGAGGGGGTAGAGAAATTATTATTGGCAAGCTGGGGTGAAACTTGTGAGAACTGGGGAGATATCTAGTAAAAATTAAAATCAAGTCTAGAAGAATAAATTTTTTTTTCAAAATTCCGATTAGGTCTACATGATCCTCCTCCTAGGAATGGGGATAGTTAACATTTTAAACTCAAATCCATCACATTATAGTATGAGGCATTTTTAAAAATAATGGAACAAGTAATCTGGTCATGGCTATGTGAGAGTTAGAAGGCAGCCATTCTCTAAAAATGAGGAAGGACATTCATGAATCTCTGTTAGTCCAATGTTTTGGCAGTTTTACCCATAAAGTATTTATTTTATGTCAAATTTTTGCCTGAAAATACCTATAAAATGTAAGGGAGGGTATAAAGAAGGAAAAGAACAGGAAATCTACAATGGAGACTTCCTTCATGTCACAAATAAAACTAAGAGGCTGTTGGTTACTGGCTTTGATGACACCTTCAGGAAGTAGAGAACCACCACCCCCCACCCCCGAAAAAAAAAAAAAAAAAAAAAAAGCAAGAGCTAAAGCTGATGATCTCCCAGAGATCCATTTCTTTAGTTACTACCAGGAAGTGAAAGCTCACCTTAAACTTTGAGCTTGTTTCCATTTTGGGGCCCAGGAGAGAATTACCCTTACTTTTCTCCTTTTTTTTTTTTTTGCTTGTAATTTGAAAGATAGAAGGAGGAGAGATAAGAAATAAAGAAAAACTAAGAAGCACTTTCTAGAATCCACCTTCAACACTCCTAGTGGACTATAGATTGTTTGATTCAATGCCAGAAATTCCAGGGCAGGTAACAGAGCAGGGAAAGTGTCTGGAAAGAATTGTACCCACCCTGAGATGAGTGAGGGACCTGGATCCAACCATAATACTGCACCGTAACTCTGAATGTTTATAAGTCTGGCCAGTGCCCAGGTACTTTGGACTGCAGCACTCAGAGAGCCCTCCATCACCAACCTGGGCAAAGAGGGAGCAACTCATCTTAACACCCCCACCCACAGAATCCAAGCCATCAGGCCTCCTTGCAAGAAGAGACCCACAGTCTCTGAGAGTTGTAGAAGTAATGTGCCAAGATCTATGGCTGCAGAAATGTGGTATGCTGAACTGTCTGCTTCTCTTATATAAGCTTATCACCTGTTTTCAAAGGCAATATTTTTTTCCTTAAGAAAAAGAATATCATCCCTGCTTAAAACCTCAGTCTTATTTAAAACAGTCTGTATAACTGATCACTTTCTTTTGAATTCAAGGGCTGTTTTTATGGTCCCCTTGGTTATGATATAAGGAACACCTGCAAACCAGACACTAGTCCCTTACATTGCCTGTGGCTGAATTGTGCTCTTAGTGACTTAAAATTTGCTTTCATAAATATTCCCAAACAGTACAACTGCATGTAATAAGATGATCTCTTTGTCATGAGTGTTTGCATGCTTGTGCACCTTCCCAAAACACAAGCACAAGCACACATGTGCACACAAGCACTCACAATCTGAACAAATAGGTCTCAATTGCCAGTATCAATCACTTTATGGTAGATCAAAGTGTTCATTGAGTACTGGATGGAAAGACATACTGTGTTCTTCCAGCCAGTGTTTTCTCTTCTGCTCTAACAAGGTGTGGATCACTGACACCTCAAGGTTTGACAGAAATATCCAGGCTTTATGTAAAAGGTGCATTTCCTTTATATTGAACAACCTACTTATCTTGCTGACTGTCCTATTTTACCTTGAGAAATTCATGCAGTCTTCTGATGTCCCATTAATGGATCCATGCTAAGAAGATAGAGAAGCAGAAGCATAAGTCAGTCCCCTGAGAACAGACAGTCTTGTTGCTTAGATACATTCATAACGCATGTGCCCACATGTCTTGGAAGCATCATGAGCGGAGGTGGAGAGGTCTATTCTCAATGGGCCAAGAATAGGGATAAGTGCCATGGGAGATTCGGTAATTTTTGCATTCTACCTCTCCCAGTGTCAGGAACGGGGAAAATACCAAGACTTCACATAGGAAGGAGGATAGAGGAAGATCTAGGTAGAAGTCTTCTTGAGAAAAACAGAAGATAGTAAAAATGCCCCCTTTCTTTGTTTATTATAAATTAATTGTTAATCAGGGCACTTAAGCTGTGTTTTCTTCATTGCCTTTTCATTTCTTGCGTTCTATTACTTCTCTCTTTCAGTTTATGGATCGTGAAGTATTCTGTACTCTCTAATTTGGCTCTGAGTATCCCACCCTCAAACACACACGTTAGGATGAGAAATGGAGAAAGCACAGAGCTTGAATATGTGTAGTTTTAGTGGTTCCAAATCAGAGCTCAACCAATCCAGTTCTGTCAATCCTGTTGTAATGTAATGACCAGGGTGGACGTTGGGACATACATAACTGACAACCTTGGATTTGGAAAAAAACAATAACTTTGTTATGAGATGGCTCCTAAAACTCTTGAGCACTTTCAGTGATCAGGGCATTTACTTAGGTTATTTCTTGGTAGCAGACACAAGAGATTGTGAAGAGCCATTCCTTGAGCATTCTTAGCCCTAATTTCCTGTGTTAAAAGGCCCTGAGCTACAGCAGTTTCTAGCATGACTCTACTTCTCCTCTTTGGAGAAGGACGGAGTTTCTTGGATCACCAACAGGCCACTTAGATCCCCACCATGTTGACTCTATAGTACATTCTGAGTAAATCAAAGTAGTTGCTATGTGGATATGGGTTAATTCACCATTACCATTTCTCCAAATGACTTCCTTTGACATGGAAATATGATGATTTTTTAATTTTACAGATAAAAACGTCGAAGCACATTAAAATTCGATGATAAGCTACAAGGGTTGTATTGAAAAGTCTTGCCAGAACCAAAACTTGTCTGAATTTCTAACTCTCAAGTCTAACTCAATAATGCTGCTTGAATCATCCACTCCACCCTGTTTTCAGCATCTAGCAGCAAAGACATGAAAGCCAGGCAGCTGATTTAATTAAGTATTTTCCATGAAATCTGTCTCCTTCATAGGCCCCCCAACACTCAAACTCACACACTTGACCCACATGAGTCTACAGAAACCAGTTGAAAGGGTCAAGAGCAGAGCAGGGATTTGAAAAGCAGAAAGGGGTAGAAAAGTTTCTGTAGTGAGGACAAGTTGAAGATCAAATAAAAAATATTTGAATTTTGTGGAGTAAGGAATTGTAAATATTTTTTTATTATTCAAAAAATTTTGTAGCATGTAAACCACCCAAATAAAAAGCTCAAGAAAAATCTGAGCCAGAGGATTTCTTGCAAAGCATTACATGGGACAGGGAGCCTTCAAGAATGTGTCCAGGGCAGTTCTGATGCTCTGAAGGTGTCAGTGGTTTGGGTCAGCCCACAATGAGGAAGGTAACCTCAAGGGTGAGCCTCTTAAAATCTCCTTCTGTGTCTCTCCCTCTAATTTAGTCAAGTTCAAACATGGCAAGCCTGATTCCAAGGTAAAGCATGAGGTTTTGAAAACATAAGTAGAAGAATAAGGAGGTCACATTCAATGCATTCCCAAAGGGAAGACATATATCCCTCAGACCCATAAATAATTATTGGCTGCCTGAATCCTCAAGGAAATGAGGCATGAATGAACATCTCCTGAGAATATTTGTGAGACCTTAATTTTGCCCTCATGATTGTAATGGTGAATTCTCTAAGCATGTAATGGTGAATTCTCTAGTCCAGGTGATCCTGTATCTACTTTCACTTGTGACCCACCTATTCACTGATAGGTGGTATTAAGCTTAGGAAGTAATCCATCTTCCCAAAGAGATAGTGTCTTTTTATTTTGTGCCACGAAGAGATTTTGGTTTATGCACAGAGCATTCTGCTTATACCAATAACAGTTAAAGAAGTACCCTAGCTTAATGTAGACTTAAAAAAAATCATTTCATTCAGTCCCCAGAGGAAAGACAGGGAGGAAGTAAGAAAGATGGAAAAACCCTTAGTTGGGTTGAGTAAGGAGTCTTTTATACCATCTACTTTACAGTGTATGTATTCCCAGAGCCAGGTTTCAGGAGAGAATATGGTCAGAAGGAGGAAGTAACTTTTCTTTCCATGCATGGGGGATGAGGAGGCTGGGCAACTGAATCATCCTTAAGCTCAAAGTTTAAAATCAAGCCAATTACAAACATCCTTTCTCTCCTGCCATTTTGTCTCCTGATGGGTAACGTGAAATCATGATAGTATCATAGTAAGCTAATAATGAGGGACAGAGGCTATTCAACCTTTGTTCCGTGGTGACTTTCTTATGAGTGCCATTACAGATACCTGGATCATGATGCACCTTGATGATAAGTAACAGGGACAAGAGCTGATGAGTATTTGGAACATTTCATTCCCTTAAGATGACCATTCCCTGTCTTGAACTAGAGCTATATTCACTGTGGGGTTGGAGGAAAATAAGAATCATAGGGACCCTAAGGGCATGAACAGAGAATTATTTAATTGAAACCACAAAGCTCTTGTGCTTAGTATTAAATATTAAAGTGGAAATGAAAAAGGCAATCCTCAAGCACAGCTGCAGACAATACAGCTCAGGGAAGCGTGATGGAGGAAGTTTTAGAAAGAAAATCTATATCTGCTCAAGACTGAAGCCACTAAACTTAAAGCATATGCCAAATCAGTGTGCCTTCCTATTTTGTGCAGATTGTAGTAGGCCAGGGTACTTAGGTGTCCTATGGAAAGGCACATGAGGATAAAGTTAATTTCAGAGCCTAGGACTCTCCCAAGCAGCAGCAACAACAACAAGGGTTTAAACTCTTTCCTACTGACTTTGGGGCAGAAGGTAATTTTTCCAACATGATGGATTTGGTCACTGGCACCTAGGCAGCTCACACTCTTCTTGGCCTCTTTCCTTCTGTAGCTTACATGAAAGAATGTATAGTTCTGTTTGGGTAAGGTTTGTTGGATGAAGCCAGATATTTTGGTGGAGGTTAAAAAATGGCTAAAGAATTCTTATCCCAGAGTTTTAACACTGAGCCACGAAGGAGAGAGGTCTCCTAGGAAAATGTATATGCCTAACACCTTCCAACCTCATCAGGAAAGTTGGAGCCTTTCACAGTATCTTTTCTTCAATGAAACAAGCCATAGGATCATTATTCTCTGCAACATCGTCTGTTCAACCTTGGATGGACTGGATCTGTTTCTGTACCCAGGGAGATAAATTAGACCAAGAACAAAACTCTCATCTTTTTGGCCAGTATGGATTGTCTTCCGCTTTCCTTTCTTTATTCACTTTCTTTGCCACATGAAAAGGAACCTATCTGGTCATCACCAAACATCCTACTGGCAAAATATGGTGTGGAAATTCATGAAGATGAGTAGACTCAGTGCATTTCATTTAATCCCAGTCGTCTTTGGAGATATTGTCTATCAAAGAAAGAAAGCTTCTTTGAGCCACTTTCCTGATTCCAACATGAATTTCAGTGATTGGTGCTTATCAGAAAGAATGATTGCTATACAAAGAGAATGACTAAAATATCTGTTTTTAGCCATTGTGAAGTCGATTTTACAGTTGAAAACAGCCTTCCAGGTCCCTTGCATGGAAACTCTTCCTAACTTCCCAGCCTCTTGGCAGTATTTTGGTTCCCCTTCATGGTTTTGGTTCCCACCACCAATCACTGCCTTTTTGTCCTGAAAAAGGAAAAGAAGAATGTATTTCTTAATTTTTATCTAAATGATTAGATTGTTAAAAGACTATCTTGATCATAATTTCTTTTTTTTTTAACTTGGAAAGACAGAGAAGGAAAAAAATAAAGATAAGAAAGCAAGCAAACAATGTTCCCAGATGCTTCAACTCAAGGTCAAGTGCTAGGAAAGTGAGTGCCCTCTGCTGAGAGCCTTGAAGTTATACTGGAAAAGAGGGAGATGCTCTGGAATATTAAGCGACCTCTGTGAGAGTGCTCAGGGGCTTTGGTAAGATGCCTGTTGTGTGTGTGGAGGCATTTATGATTTTTCTTGGTTTTTTTTTTCTCTCTCTTTTTAAATTGTTTCAAAGCACAAGATCTGTGGAGGATGCGTGGTTTTTAGATTGAACGTGTTGGTGACATGATACAATCCTTAGCTCTTCTTGGCCCTAGGTTCCAAGGAGGCAAGTGTTTCTAAAAACTCAGTCAACGAGTTGTTGCACGTTATTTTTTAACGTCCTATTGTAATGAGAAAGAGAAAGTGGAGTGGGAAACAGATTTATTGAGAAGCAGACAAAAAGCTTTGTTCTGAAACATGCTGTTCACTGAGCTGAGAAAAATCTAGAAGAAAGGGGGGAGAGAGGGAGAGAATAGTCTCAGGTGAGAAGATGGTGCCCCCCTCCAGATGCTCTGATGATTCCTGAGGAGTTTAGTTTGCCAATCTCCTCTGTGCTCTGACAGGAGGAGAAGCCGTGCTGCCCTTGATTGCTCAGAAATGGTGACAGACTGACTTTAAGAAGAGGCATAGGCTTTCTTCCAGAAAGACATGGATAAGCAATGCACCTTGACTCTTCAAAAACTCATCTACAAACCTGCAGGGCAGCTCCTCTCATGATTTCCATTCTCCAGTCAAGACTATCCTGAGTAGAAGAAACTCATCCTTGTTGTGATTACATTTACTTAATTTGAGAAGCCAAAGAGCACCGAGGAGAGCAGAATATATCATGGGAATAGAGTTAGCTGAATTTTTTTTTTTTCAATTTTGGAATGATTGTGAATCACAAAGTTAGGTCACCTCTGAAAGAGAAAATCTTTTAAATAAAATTATATCTTCCCATCCCCAGTGAAAACACCAGGTTTCTAATCTGATTACTGTTTACTTCAGAAAAGGAAATTGATAGATTTGATTAGAAATAGACATTACAGATTGATTTAATCCTGGTTTTATACATATTAACATGGAATTTATTGACTCTGACATGATCTTTTAAGCCATAAAATATCATTGAAGGGTGGTAGATCATATATTCTGAACAAACTAGGAAAGCTAAAACATAAAGTAATCCTCCCAAATATTTAAAGTCCATCAATTCTACTATAGCCATAAGGGATTTGGGAGAAGGCAACAGTGGAGAAGAGGGATTGATTAAAAGAGAGTGATTGATTAAAAGGTGGTAATAAACCCAAGAAAAATTCTCACATCTGAAAAGAAGCATGGAAAGTGAGCTCTGTATTTACCACTTAGAAATTTGGTTAAAGAATAAATATCCAGGGTTTTTATTTGGTTTTGTTGTTGTTGTTGTTGTTGTTAGTGTGTTGTCCACCCCCCACCTCCCAACACACATACATCCACTTACTAGAACTCTTATTTGGGGGAGATGAAGGCTGCAGTTTCAGAACATTTTTTGAAAGATGGCTTATCCATGCATGGATATTTATTAAGTAAAAAAAAAAACATACTAAGTCATTCTAGGTCCTTGGATACAAGAGTGAACATACATGAGGTTCATGCCCCCTGAAGTTTATATATTGATGAGAAGAAACAGACCAAAACCCACATAAATACATCTTTAAAGTAAGCTTAAGAAGTCTGTCAGACATCTAGGTGGAAATGCCAGTTAGGCAATTGGATATATCTGGCTGAAGTTCAGGGAGGAGGTAGAACTTAAAGATATGTTTTTGGAACTTGTAGGCCTTTAAAGACATGAGACCACTCTACAAAGTGAGTACAGAGAGAATAAAGTTCCCTGGACTGAGCCCTGGGGAACAATCAGAGGCCCAGGAGGTGAGGCAGTAGTACTGGGAGAAGCGGTCAGGGGCAAGTCAACTGCTATTCTTGAGTGAAGAAGATTCTCTGGAAACACGGACCTTACTCCACAGGTGGACCAGGAAAAGTGTTTCAGTGGACTGGTGAGGACTACAGAATGGATGAGCGTGGGTTCAGAAAAGAGTGGGTGGAGAGGAAGTGGAGACACATAAATAGGCAACTCTTAGGAATTCTGCTCTAAAGAAGACATAGAAATAGCAGTAGATAGGTGAGGATGTGGGGTTCATGGAGGGCTTTTTTTTTTAAATATGAGAGGAATAGCCCATTTTATTCAGACCAGAATGACCCAGTAGAGAGGGAAAATGAATGAGGCTTGGGAAGAAGGGACAATTGTTGTAGAATTGTCTTTGATGAGAGAAAAGGGATGGGATCCAAAGCACAAATGGAGGGCTTGGCTCTAGGAGCCTAACTAGGTGTTTTACAGAAATAGGAGAGAAGCTGTATTTAGGCACAGAAGGAAGTGGATGGATAATGTGATGATGGTTGTATGTCTTTTCTGACTGATGATTTTTCAGAGAAATACAAAGGGAGTTCAGCAGCCAAGAGTGAGTATTGTGGAATGGGTATTGGAGGATGGTAAAGCCATGCAGCAAGAAGAATGGAGGGATGACAACATGTAGGAGATACACTAGGAGTGCTGAAGACTTACGTGTCTTGTGGTCATGAGTTTAAGCAAATTTGCAAAATTTTCTTGAATGACATTCAACAGCTCAAAGAATGTGGTGAGTTGGATTTAAGCTGGGTCAGGGTTTAATCAGACAAATGCTATGAAAGAAGCAAGCAATGTGGAGTGAAGGGCAACTACCATGTAGTGATTATAATGATAAGCCATGGGATCTAAGCTGGGTATGGAGGAAAAGGAGAATTTTTAGAGAATGACCAATAATGAAGAGGGGTAAGAGCATGGGATTGAAATACAGACAAGGCTTACTGAGTCAGGGTCCCAGAAGGAGTAATCTAGAAATTAGGCTACAGGTCAGAGGTCTGGGTAATTGGAGTTGAGATTATGGGGGGTTTGTGATAACCCATAGTGAAATGTTACTGAGGATGAAGTGTCTGGGGTGGGAATGGTGGTCTGAGGTAAGGAAGGACAAGGTTATGAAGAAGCAAGGGTCAAGAACCTGAGAGGTCAGGACATGGGAATGGATGTTTATGTAAGTCAACATTTTGTTGAATGATATGTAGGATTGCATATGATGTCAGGAATTAGGGATGGTAGTTCAAGACAATTTCAATCATTGCTTCAAGTAAGGGGAATAGCCAGTATCTTCTGATGTGCTGCAAGCTGGATTTTATTGTGAAGAGAAAGGAAGGATGTCCTGAAAATAGCAAAGACAAGCAAGAAAGGCTTCTCTTCCACCACCAGGCCCAATGGCATTAGAGAAAACGCCGGCTGCTGGAGGGGGCTGTTGGGCTCTGAAGGAAGAGCCAAATTTCACTGAGAGTGAGACAGTCAAAGAAATTGTCAGGGTGTGCAACTGGTGGCAGATCATGGGGTCACAGGGAGGACTGGGGGAGTTAAGGAGGGATGGGAAATGAGCTTAGATGGGATGTGTACTTAGTTCACTAGGGATGAAAATCTGAGTAATAAGAGTATTCAGGAGTCCTGGGCTTCTCATGGTGACTGTCCTGTGCAAGGATTACAGGTATTTGGGGCTGGCGTTTGTGGTCTTTGTCAGATGAGGTTGGTAAGGCTGCAAGTGCTGGGGCAGGGCCTCGCCAGCCACATGTGGAGCAGGGGTGCCTCTTCTTCAGTCTGACTTTTGTTTTATTTAACTTCCACTGCCATCTGTGGTAGGTCACCACATATTTTTATAGATGTCTTTAAACGTAGTCCTGGATTGAGGTTCATTTTGACTGTTGACCCTGGAAAGAACACATTTTCAAAAGTAAATCTTATCTTTTCTGTTTTAAGGGCTTCCAATAAGTTAGTCCCCTTGGGGGAATCATAATTCTTTGTTCTTACTTACCTGATTCGTTGCTCATCTTTTAAAAATAACCTAAAGGATTGGAAGCAGCTCTGCCTCTGCCCAGTTTTGCCAAATGAGAGTTCCCGCTGACCGATCATTTTTATTTAGTATTTTTCTTTGTGACTGAGAGGACCAGGAACATTAGGAAATGATTAGGAGTCTTTAAAATCCTTGGGGGAGAGAAGATCAGGAAAGGGTTAAGAAAGAAAGGATTTTGAATGGAGCTACATGAAAAAGGAACAAGTGAGCATTTGGGGGGAATATACAAAGTGAAAAAAAAATCCACTGTGTAGGCATTTATTTAGCAAAAGCAAACTACAACCTCTCCCCAGAAGCATTCCACATACCTCTGACCCATATGATGAGTTGATTCTATTTTATTTCCTGTGCCCTTAAAAAAGATATAATTTGAAAATGGACAGAAGCTGCTCAACCATTTCTAGTGGGCTAGTTCTCCAACCCCATGGAATGCTGAGCAGGGCCTGAATGAGATCGCAGGGGCTGCTGCTACCACTGGCTCAGGCTCTCTGTCCACCAGTGAAAGTAAATGCTTCGGCTTGGTCATGTCCTGCCTGGAATTTTCCCCAAAAGATTAGTTGGTGTTCATCCAACCTCATCTAATGCTGTGTCTGAGTTCTTGTGTTGGAAGCGTATTAAAACCAACGCCAGGGCTTACAACAGGCTTTATGCACTGCATACAACTCCATTTAGGAAGGAAAAGGGAAGCAAAGGAAGCCAGAGATGGTTTCCCCAGGACCTCTGTTTGCTTTCTGGCCTGAGGAAATACAACATTTCTAAGGTGAGCAGAAAACTTTGCCTCAAATTTCCCCTGCTTCAGGCCGACTCTGATGCCTGGTTGATTGGGTGCAGTTGTCTGTTAAGGAAATCCGTGAAAAGTAGTGGATAAAACTGATGGAGAAGAGGGAATTTCGTAGGAGTGTTGTTTCCCAACAGCCACCCCAGCATTCATCAGTAGTCCTGATGCTTGTGGAAGTATGACAAGGAAGGTAGCTGGCAGGTCACAAAGGTGATCCAAGAGGAGACAGAAGAGGGCATTGGGCTCTAGTCCCTAGGGCAAATTTCTTCTCCTGTACTTGACAGGAGCCCGTGCTCCAACAGTGTCACAGTTACACTTAGCCACAACGAACGATGCACATGTGTGTGGTTGTGCGTGTGTGCGTGAGAGAGAGAGAGTGTGAGGGGGTGATGATGAAATGAAATATGCCTCCACCATGGGTTGGGTTGCAATTGTAGAGCCGCACCCTCTCAAAGTCACATGGCGGAGGTGAAATGGTCACAGCTTTCCTGGTGTGGTGTGCCCTGCCCAGGGAAAGCAAGGACGACTCAGGCTTGCCTCCACTCTGTGAGGCCCAGATCCCACCCTCCTCCCTGGGGCCGGCTCTCCTCCCTCTTGACTCTCAGATCCCCAGCCCATCCACCTCCAAGTTCTCTTTTTGTTTGTTTGTTTGTTTTGTTTTTGTTTTCTGTAAATATATATTTCTTATTTCGGACATGTAGGGATCAATTGAGATTCTGGAGTGGGGGGAGGGGCGGATGACTGGGTCTTTTTATTTTTTCCTTTCTCTCTTGGATTTTGGTGTTTGAACCTGAAAAAAAAAATACAAGTATATATATAAGCAAATGACTTACCTTAAAAAAAAAAAAGAAAAGTAAGTTGATTTCATTCTTTTGATTTATCTTGTTTCTCATTGGGGTTGGGTGGGGGTGGGGGGTCTTTTGGGTGGAGGGCTTTTTTGTGAGCTGTATAGATTTCCAGTTTGGACTTGTTCAAATGATGCAGGAACAAAAAATTAAAATGAATTAAAAAAAAGACAACATAAAAACAAGAAAAACTTTGTGATGTATAAAAACTGTAAATAGTCAAAGATTCTTTCTCTTTTCTAATGGCAAATTATTTCTGTCACTTTATATTCAAAAAATAAAGAAACCTACCACAAATTATCAGGGTAAAAAAAAAAATCTAGAATCAGAGTTTTTTTCTTGATTCTTGTGCTTTCTTTACTGAGGTTTAGAAAAACTTATTAAAGGTGCTGTTTGGGAAAAACCCTTTCCCATTTGGTTCCTGGTTGTCAGCATTGTTCTGCACTTAGGAATCTAGCTGGGTTAGGAATCTGTTTCTTCCAGCTGATAATGAAGTCTCTTGGTTTTGGGTTGGAGGAATTTAAATCATTATGATCAAAAGTAAATTTTTAGTTTCCATAAGATTCTTGATAACATAATAATTGTCAAATAGCATTTGGTTTCTTTTCAATTTTAAATAAAATTTTAAATATATTCAACAGTAGACAAGAATGATATGATGAACCTCTCCATATATCCGACACAACAGTGCTGATGATTTTCAGGTTATGCCAGTCTTATTTCAACCATACCACTAATGGCTTTCTTACATCATCTTGAAACAAATTCCATGATTTCATAATTTCATTTTTATTTCAATATATTCACTAAAAACTAAGGACTTTTAGTGTAATCACAATGCCATATGACATAAAAATTCAGTGATGGTTCATCAATATCAAATATCTCAAAATTGTCTCAAACAACAGTGTTTTCTATGGGTTTTTTTTTTTTTCATCATAAGTCAAATAGGTTCAACACAATCAGCTGCTACTTCTAAAATTTGTTTTGAAGCAATAGGTTCACCCCTCAATTCTTTTTCTTCTTTGCTTGCAACTTTTTTGTTAAAGAAGTGGAGCATTTTATCCTAAGAGGCTCCCTCAGTTGTATTTTGCTAGTTGCATCCCCACATTAATGATTAACATGTGCCTCTGTCCTCTAAAATTGATCCTCCTATAAATTGGTAATTGGTTTACTCTTTAATGCATACTTTTCTTTGCTTAGCGGTGTCTGGAAAGCAAATTGGCCCTCATTTTAACCAATGTGATGTGTATTTACAAGAACTAGCTAGTCACACACCAGTTGAACAATAGAAATCCAGTTCCAGTCACAAGGTGACCAGTGTCCTCCACAGCCTAGACAAGAAGCAAGACTCGATCCAGCTCTCCAACCTGTTGTTTGAGCTACGGCCTTTACCTGAATGGTATTTCTCCCCTGTCTGGTTCCAGTTCTGTCAGCAGCTTTATATGTAGATGCTGGATGATTTCTTTTTCTATATCTCAATTATTCAAGTTAAATAATAGCATCGTCTCCTTAGATATTTCAGGTGATAACATAGCATAGATATATTTAGCATTCCAAATGGCAATCATAAAATATATTACAACATCACTTTATTAAGAGCCATGTGCTCCTAGTACTGGACAGGACAATACAGAGACCAAATAGTTGGACCCCTCTCAAGACCTCAATGAGCCTATGTGTGGCAGTCCTTGATGGAAGCCAGACCTGCTACTCCCTATTTCAGGACATCTTCCAGGACAATCATTGTCTCTTTGGAGCTATCGCCTCATTCTCTAAAAGGGTTCCTCCTGTATTTTCCTCTGTTCTGGAACAAACAAATAATGCCTCCCCCTGACCAAAAAAAAAGGACTCCCTTCTCTTTGAACATGGCAGAAAGTAGCAAGTGCCTACATAAACCGGGGGTTCTTCTCAGACATAGTGATTCTCTCCACCTTCTGAAGATACTTCCCAAATTGTCCTCAAGCCACAGAATAGCTTTAACAAGAATTTGAAAGTTATTATAGTAGGTATGATTTGAAAATACGAAATGTGTGTTTTGTTTTGTTTTAAGTTGGAAGAGACAAGACTTCCATTCAAATCTTGGTCATTTTAAACAAAAAAGCTTGAAAGCTGTTATCTGAACTCTGGTGGGAACCCCTAGTAAGGACATAATTAAAGCATTGATCACAATCAAAATGCCTTCAATAAAAAAGACTCAAACTATAAGATAAGTGTAGGAATTCCTGAGACTGGTAGGTGTCTGTTCTTTATACTGTCTTCCTCACCTACCATCTGGAATCTCTTAAATTAATTACTCAGAGTAACTGTGTTCTGCACACCTCTGTGCCACCCTAAGTTCCACTCTAAGGGACCACTGATAAGGCCAATCTAATAAAAAGCTGAATGAGCACCTTTCCATGTCCTTGTCAACCAACTGTCCCAGAAAGATGGGCCTCCACGCTTCTCCAGGATTGACATCCTTTTCCTTCATCTATCATTTGAACACCTCCCCTGATCATTTGACTTGAAAGCAGTTGTCCATCAGTATCCATAGGGAATTGGTTTCAGGACATTTCCATGAATCTCCAAATTAGCAAATGCTCGATCCCATATATTAAATGGCACAGTGTTTGCATAGACCCTACACACATCCTCCTTGTACTTTAAATCATCTCTAGATTACTTATAATACCTAATACAATGTAAATGCTATGGTGTTCACGCTATATTTTCTAGGGAATAGTAACAAGAAAAAAGTTCTATACATGTTCAACACAGATGCAATTTTTTACCCAAATATTTTTGATTAGCAATCAGTTGGATTTATGGATGAAGAACCTGGAGTAGGATGGCCAACTATATTTTTATTTCCCAAACTTTTACAAGCCCCAAAATAATCCTTTCAAAAATGTGAACTATTGCTGGAAGCAACTTCCTTGTAGAATTCAAGAAAGATCAAGAGAATGGGAAAGAATGCTGGAAAGATGATTCTGAGAGCATCTGAGAAGCCTGTCAAAAATGTGATGTCAAGCTGTCATTTGTGATCTTCAACAAAAAATTTTACTTCAATTTTCTTACCTCTAAATCCAGATGTTAACCTGTCCTCTCTCCCTCTAGCAGTACTTCCAAATTCAGTTGCATATTGGAGTTATCTGGGTATTTTTTAAATGCTGATCCTTGAGTCTCATCCCCCAAAGATTCTAATTCTGTTGTTCTGGGTTATTGTTTGGGTACAATGTGGTTTAATGTCTCCCCAGGTGATTTTGAATACACAGCCACTACCACTAAGTCAGTGCACTGGGGAAAGGCATCTCATATTTATTTCTAATTTGACTATATGCTGCAGCTTTTGTCCTGGCGATTCTTGATCTTACTATAGGCCACCACTGACTTAATGGATGGCCACCCTTGAGAACTCCAGGACCCTTTTCCTTCTCCATTTGGAGCTGTAGAATGAACATAAGAAAGTCTCAATTGACTGTTACAGCTCAGTTCTGTAATTCTGCACATTACCACGACATATGGCTAGATATAGATATACTGAAGAGTTATATTCTATCCAATGGAAATCCTACACATAAACTTCAAATTTGACATGGACATTAAATATAACTATTCCCATGATCATGGGAGGAAAACCAAAAAGCTAAAGCTATTTTAAGAGGTTGGTTCATGGGTATAATTTCTTGACTTGCTCCCCAATTTAGAATCTATGACTTTCTTAGGATGTACCTCTGTTTTCAGCCCTCCATAGCTTATGTCTTGATTCTCCAGCCTCCTCATTTAGGGAAGCTTATACACAATTATGTTCTTCGACTGGAAATTAGTTCCCCTCTTCCAGGCAAACTCTAAGTCACTATAATTTCCCACAAGTACATGCCCCACAATCTGAGTGATCTCAACTAGTCTGATATCACAGGAGGCTTTACAGGACCACCAAATGTGGATATTGGTCCTCCACGTTCAATATTATTTAAGTTGCCCCTGCTAGAGTAGGGGGACATAATTTTTTTTCCTGGTTGACCAGTTGTCTAACTCTGGTATTACCCAACAGACAATTGGAGTCAGACCAATGGTCAAAAGTTTGGGTCCTGAAAGCTGATTCCAGCCAGAAAACTGACCTTCCTTACCTAGCAAGGTTTAGGGATATTTAGATTTAAATGCCTCCAGATAGTATCTGCTCTCTAGTTTAGTTCAGTCCTTACCATTTCTTATGCCCTCACCTCAGAAGGTATTTAAGTCTGCAAAAATTGCCTGCCCTCCACACACACACAAGCCCATCTTCCTAATGGCTGTACCACAATATGCAAAGCTGTAATTCCACTAAAAAAAAATAGTAGTTCTGCTTTAGAACCACTGCAATACCAGTTTTTGGTTTTCCTCCTTTGTCAGTCTACATACTGAGGTCCCATCATCACCAACAAGAGGACCCACGTGTATGTCTGCCCACACCACTCAACTGCACACATCTATAGAAATTTTAAATGTCAAGATATTTCTCTCTCTTTTGCCTGTTTTTCAAGATGATTACTATTGATATAGATCCTTCCCTAATCCAAGCACAGACAACAGTGTGCTTATATTATTCAAGAAATTTCCTATAAATCAGAGGAAAGGGTATTTTTATCTTCAATTTTGATACAAAACTATCACTTAATATGCACCTATTATATTCCAGGTCCTTTCATTCAATATCTCATGGAATTGTCTTAACAACTCCATTTCACAAATGTTATTATTGAGGTTTGAAGATATTCATCAGCTTGCCTGAAGTCACACAGCCACCACGTGAGAGATTAGCAGTTCAAAACCAGGGAAGCTAATCCTCAACACCAAGTTCTTATTACTGAGTCAAATCATCTTACAGAGCAATTGTAAGAAGTCAACTGGATAATGAATGGAAGCTATTCTGCAAACTACAAACTGCTCAGGATAAATGGAATGGGATACCACATGTCTAACAATGCCTTACTATCACCTTGCCCCTTTTTGATGTTTGATAATTAGTTGCTTGTACTTTGACTCCAAATCTTGGAAAATCTTGTCCCTTTTTATCCTATAGCAT